TAGAAGTTCAGAGACTCCAAGTGACTCACTTCCTTGTTTGGGGTAAACATTCTGATGTGATTTGTTAATTCCTCAGGAAACTGAAACCAGCCAAAGTCATGTAGTAAGTGTCCTCACTGAGAATTGACACAGAGAAGGGCTGAGCATTACAATTATTATCTCATTTGATCCTCACCATAACCATGGAGGTAGGTGTTTTATTATCCCCATTTTTCATATGAGGAAACTGAGGCAAACAGTGGTTAAATGACTTGCCAAGGGTCACACAGTAAGTATGTGAGGCTTGATTTGAACGCAGATCTTCCTGATTCCAGGCTCAGCGCTCTACCCACTGTACCACCATCTCTCTCCTATTAGTCAGATCTATATAATAACTCTCATGTCCAGTATTTTCTGAATTCTTCTCCACTGCTGCTGCCATGGGAAAATAACATTTAGAATGAGCTCTTCTCACAGAAATATTATCAGTGGTGATTGGGTGTTCGTGAAAAAACATTATTAGGCCTCTACTTAGGCAAAGTAGGAAGATGAAGGTAGGACAAGATTATTATCTCTAGATACTTACATGGTTGTAAGAAGGATTAGATTTGTACTGCTCGGCCCTGGAGGAATAATGGAGGTATATACCTCCTACAGCTTGGTTATCATTATATTTACTTTGTATATATTTTACTTTTATTACATTTATTTCTTCATGGCACCTGTAAATAGTGCCTGGAACATAATTGGTACTTAATAAATGCTTGTTGATTGACTGAGTGGAAATTCTGTGGCCTAGTTATGCCCACTATCTATTTTCTCAATGCCCTTTGGGTGACCTGCCATTTCAATTCTTCAGAGAATGTGGTATTTCATGACTTATAGTCAATATCATCATTGGATGAATACCAATACTAAAACGACAAGTCTCTGTTTCTGGGGTCATTAAAAACACGGCAGTTTCTCAAACAATCCAGCCTGCTAGCTTTCTCCTATTTAGTTCTGAACCCAGTTCACTTTCCATTCCTAGTGTCCATACCAGATTCGTGTACATGGTAGACTGGCTCTTTGAATTGTACATCAATTGTATAGCTGAGACAATAAGCATCTTTCATTGAATTATTTTTTCCACTGAATCTCAAATATGCTAGCCTGGGACCTAACATATGATAGTTGAAGATTGGGATAAGATCTGTGAAAGATAGGATTTGGCCATTTAAATCAGTGGTATCAAACTCAAAGAGAAATGGAAGGCCACTAATCTGTACATAAGAATCCCTGCTGGCTGTGTATTGACATCTTAAAATGTAACATTATCTATATTTTATTGTAATTTTATCTGTTTTGTTAAATACTTCCCAATTACATTATAATCTGAATCTGTGCTTTTAGGAATTTCGCAGCTGAAGGACCTCTGATTTAAATCATATTCACATGGGCACACATTACCAACCCTTTGTGGGACAATTTTGGTTGTAAGTAAAATAATATACCATCAATCCTTGACTATTAAGTCTTTGTACTTCTTGCCAGGGATGTATGCAAGAACTTTTTCCTAATCATAGAATACTAATCATAGAATCTCTGAGTAGGAAAGGACTTCAGGGTTCACATAGTGTAACCTGTAACTATATAGGAATTCCTTCCATAGTATACCTGATAAATTCTATTCCAGCCTTTGCTTGAAGACTTCCAATGAGGGGGATTTATTGAATATGCCACTGGCTATTTATGTCCATTATATGTTTTTCCAGCGGGCACTGGGCTACTTGCAACCGAAAATAGTCCATTCCACTTAGAAAAGCTTTAACTCTTGGGAAGTTTCTCTTGACTTGATTCTAAATTTCTGTCTTTGTAACTCCCATCCATTGCTCCTAATCTGACTCCATGGCTCCAGGCGAAGGTTTCATCTGTCTTCTACAGGACTGTTCTTCAAAAACATGAAGACAGCTATTATGTTCCCTCTAAGTTTTCTCTTTTCCAAGCTAAAGATCCCTAGTTCTTTCAACCTATCCTCAAAATAAACACAGATTAGAGGCCCTTTGATATCATAGTTGTCATCTTCTGGGCATTCCTCAGCTTATCAGTATCCATCTTAAGATATGCCACCCAGAACTGAACACAATGCTCAATGCTCTGCCCAAGGCAGAGGACAGTAGGATGATGACCTCTCTATACCTTTCTTTATCTTTCTTTCTTTCTTCCTTCCTTCCTTCCTTCCTTCCTTCCTTCCTTCCTTCCTTCCTTCCTTCCTTCCTTCCTTCCTTCCTTCCTTCCTTCTTTCTTTCTTTCTTTCTTTCTTCTTTCTTTCTTTCTTTCTTTCTTTCTTCTTTCTTTCTTTCTTTCTTTCTTTCTTTCTTTCTTGGCAATTGGGGTTAAGTGACTTGCCCAGGGTCACATAGCTAGTAAGTGTCAAGCGTCTGGTCTGAGGCCACATTTGAACTCAGGTCCTCCTCATTCCAGGACTGGTATTCTATTCAATGCACCACCTAGCTGCCCCACTCTATACCTTTCTTAATGCATCCCAAAACTGCGTTAAACTTCTTGGCTGCCATATAACTGATTAGCTTACATCAAACTTTCAATTGACTAAAACCTGCAGGTCTTCTCCAGAATTATATCTAGCCATGCCTCCCCCATCACATACTTGCAAAAATGATTTTGTTCAATGTTTTAGCCAGACATGATCTTTTTTTAATGCTGATTTTTTTTTTAGCTATTCCTCTAAGCTTTGTCATCTGAAAATTTACAAGCATTCCATCCATGATTTTATCCAAGTCATTGGTAAAAATGTTAAACAGCAGGGTGTGCCCGGCACCATGATGTCAAGGTCAGATTCCTCTACTGGAAATTTCATTCCAAGCTGTCACAGCTCTATTAATAACCTCTCTTTGGGTCCAGCCATTCAACCAATTCCAAAGACCTCTAAGTGTACTATTATTCAGCCTACATCTCTCTATCTTGCTCATAAGAAAAGCCTAAGAGTCTCTGTCAAATTCTTTGTAAAACCCAGTTAAAATATATCTATAATGTTCCCCTAATCTACCAGTTCAGTAGCCCTGTCAAAATAAGAAATAAGGTTAGTTGGGAATAACCTGTTCTTAGTAAAGTCATACTGGCTCCTCGTAATCACAGTTTCCTTTTTTAGAGATTTACTAACTTTCCCTTTAATAATATGTTCTAGAATTTTCCCACAAGTCAAAGTCAAGCTTGCTTGGCCCAGAATTTCAGACTCCGTTCTCTTCCAGTTTTGGAAATTGAGGATAATATTTTCCTTTCTCCCACCCTGTGGTTATATTTCCAGTTCTCTACAATCTTTCCAAAATCATTGTTAGAAATTACATAGGCAGATTTTTCTAAATATCATAGGATGTATCGCCTCTGGGTCAGGAATCCTAGAAAGACAGCATGAAAAAAACGGAAGGGGAGAACAACAGTCTCCCCAGCTATATCATTGACTAACAGAAGTATCATTCAGTAACAGGTCAACCACCTGACTGATTATAGGATCCAGAGCTAGAAGGGATCTTGGAGATCAGCTAGTCAAACTGCTTATTTTTCATATGAACAATACTGTTCAGAGAGATAAAGAGGTTTGTCCAATATCACATAACTAGTGAGTGGCAGATCTAAAATCCAAACCCACATCTTCTGACTATAAATCTTGCATACCACAGCATACATGCCACTCTGTAGCCTGTCAGTAGAAATAATTGAGCATTATAAGGCCAGAATAACTAATTTATTTCATTAGACTTAAATGATAGACATTACAAGTGTGGAATAAAATTAATTTAGTGCCTAAGTATTTTTTTCCCTAAAAATATGTTTGTAGGTGCTCTAATTAAAAAGAGAGAGAGAGAGAGACAGAGAGAGAGGAGAAAGGGAAACTGGTGGCAGGAGTTGGAGGGAGTGAGAATCAGCAGATGGGTTTTATAAAATTTTGACATAATTTACGTTAATTTCAAATATTTGAATTTCATTTTTAATTTTGAAAATATTTTATGGCTTGTTAGTTATTCAGAGAAGTGCCATGGGAGGATGGAGAGACTACATGGTGTAGTGGATGGAACGCCAACCTGGAAGCCAGGAAAGCTTGAGTCCAATCCTGTTTCTGACACATATTTGTGTGATCCTGGGTAAGCCACTTAACTTCACAATGATTTGGGCAACTCTCTAAGATTATATATAACTAATTTTTTCTCTTCAAAATTTTTTTTATTTTCAGTCCCAAATTCTCTCCTTCCTTCCACCCCCTTCCCCACCCATTAAGAAAGCAAGAATATGATCCCCATTAGACATATGAAGTCTAAGATGATTTATAACTTGTAGAGAAGCTGCCACCTTGCATTGGAAGAGGGAGTTTCCACACTCTCCAGTTTCCTGAACTAGTGAAATCACAAGTCTACACCCTATCCCTAGCTATGCATTCATTATTGGGTAAAGCATGAAAGTGATTTGAACTTCAAACATAAGAGTGTAGTCCTTTGCTTTTCAGGGAGCCTCCACTATATTTAGATCCTGACTATTCCCTATGCTAGCTGTGAGATACTATGTCATCTCTTCTGTGGTTGAAGTCCTACCCATCATTTAAAACCCAATTCCAATGGTACCTCCTACAGGAAGTTTTCCTGATCTCCTTCTCTGTCCGATAACACCCTTTGTTTTGCACCTGCATAATGCATTTATCATGTAGTGTTTATATCATTGTTGTCTGTGTTGTGTTTGTATCTACAAATTCCATAAGGGTAGGGCTGTGTCCTATCTCAATGTTCAATAGCTCCCCTCTCCCCACAGCACCTAGCACCTATACACAGTGGGCACTTAATAAATGCTTATTGAATTGTACTGAAATGAATTGGGAGAGTGTTTAGGTTTGAGGAGTGAGGCAAGTACTTAAACCAGATGGCCTCAAGGCTCCTTATGAGCGTTTCTTTATTTATCTTAAAAAATACCTGTATTTATAAATTCTTCCATGAAATTGACTTTCTATATTTGTTACCTTTTCATTTTTAGGTTACCTGTTTAAGCCATACATTTGTTGTCATCAGCTGATTTTTTTCATCCTAGGGAAATGACAAGAAAAAGAACATGTCAATTGAACCAAAGAACATTCCAGGAGATTATTATTTGTCTAAACATCACCTTCTATTTATTTATTTATTTGTTTTTGGGTTTGTTTGTTGTTGTTGTTGTTTTTTGCTAGGCAATGGGGTTAAGTGACTTGCCCAGGGTCACCCAGGTAATAAGTGTCAAGTGTCTGGTCTGAGGCTGGATTTCAACTCAGGTCCTCCTTACTCCAGGGCTGGTGCTCTATCCGTTGAGCCCCCTAGCTGCCCCTCATCTTCTATTTAAATGGCATCTTTGGAAGCATCTAGAGAACTCCACAGAAATAATTATTTCATTCATTCTTAGTAATTTGCCAACTGATGAGGTGCTTGAGTTTGAGAGGGTGCAGAAAGGTCGTTACTTACTTTTGAAATGGACCAGTGATTACTAGACTAAACAACTCTTACATAGCAAAGTTGCCTCTGTCTTTACTGGTAATGATTAGGAGATAGCTACTTGGTTGACTCGAGAAGCAGGATGGATGGAGTAAAGGGAAAGCATATTTTTGCAGGCATTAGGAAGAACAGGTACGGCTAAATGGAGCATTCCAGAGGAGGACAACCAGGATTTTGAGGGCCTTGGACACCATGCTATGTATGGATTAGCTGAAGAAATCAGGGCAGTTAAGTCTAGAGAGTAAAAGACTTAAGGCGAAGACATGATAACTGTCCTCAAGTAATTGAAGAATTTTCATGTGTTAGACTTGTTCTGCTTTGCTCCAGAAGGCAGACCTGGGAGCAATGCATGGAAGATTTGGGCAAACAGGTGAATTTAGGCTCAATATTAGGGGCAGATAGGTGGAGTAGTGAATAGAGTGCCCAGCCAGGAAGACCTGAGTTTAAATCTGGCCTCAGAAACTTACTAACTCTGTGACCCTGGGCAAGTCACTTAACCCTGTTTGCCTCAGTTTCCTCATCTATAAAATGAGCTGGAGAAGGAAGTGGCAAACCACTGCAGTATCTTTGCCAAGAAAATGCCAAATGGAGTCAGGAAGAGTTGGACAAGACTAAAACAACTGAACAACAACAAAAAGAAAAATTTTGACAATGAGATTTGTCCAAAAGTGGAATGGTTCTTAGTTCTTCCTTGACAGAGGTCTTCAGGCCAAAGATGGACTAGCTCTTGTCAGGGAAGTCATGGAGCAGATTTTTGCTCACATAAAGATTGTACTTGATGATATTTAAGATTCCTTCCAATTCTTAGATTCAGCAATTCAGGACTTTGAAGTAAAGAAATATGGTGGCCTTAGGCTAACAGGCAGTCAGTCAAGAGATACTCATGCAAGATGGTACAAGGATGAACCTGGGAATTGGGGAAACTAAGTAAGGAGACTTTAAGCATTTGTGGAATTAAGGATCATCAGTTTTCCTAGAGTTATTGTTACAACAGAGGTGAGGATTTAGTGTGTTGCCAGATTAGCAAATCTCTACAGGCATTTCTTATAGAAATCCCCAATAAGCATACATCTCAGAGTTAACGCCAAGTTCAAGGAAAGGAAGTGTGCTTTTAACAAGGTTTTACAAAAGGAATATCTTTTGTTACACCTTGCATCCCAATTTGGAGTTCAAAAAATATGGTCCTCCTAGTTATAGAGAAAAGCAAAGGTAAGGGCAGCTAGGAGAAATGGTGGATAGAGCTCTGGCCCCAGAGTCAGGAGTATCTGAGTTAAAATCCAGCCTCAGACACTTGACACTTACTAGCTGTATGACCCTGGGCAAGTCACTTAACCCCAATTGCCTCACCCAAAAAAAAAAAGTTACAGGTTAGTGTGTTCATCTAATGAGGTGAGTGTCTTAAGAGTCTCTTGAAGATGAGCTAATAAGGCCTGGGGGTTCATTAGTACCTCTTCCTTTCTAGAACAACAACCCCTACTTGGGGCTTTCATGACAACTAGTACTCTGTGTATCATCTGCCCTAAAACAGGAAAAATAAAAGTAGCTCTTTCTCTGTTTTGCTCTGCCCTTCATTTTGGACTCATCCCTAGCAAAACCAGGAAAAAAAAAGAAGCTGTGTTGTGATGGAGTTTGAACTGAACACAGCAGAATTAATGACACCACTGGGAAGAGTAGCAGTTATCAGGTCAATTCCAGTGTTCAGTTACTCTCTTCTATTCCCTGCCTTCTTCTTCAATTCCTTCAGGAAATTTGGTACAAGTTAGTCCTAAGTCATATATTTAGAGCTGGAAGGGATCTTACAGATCATGTTATAGATGAGTAAAGATCACATTTTATAGCGAGTAGACCCAGAGAACTTGGTGATTTGGGCACAGTCACACAAGTAGTAAGGGACAGAGCCGGTTTGAACCTGGGTCCTCAGAGTCTAAATATAGGGTTTTTTCATTACACCCTCATTGGGAAATTTCCAATGTCATCTCCCATGCTCAAACAATAGCTTTTAACCATGGTCACCCATCTCAATTTTACTTCTACAAGGCTTATCACTTTTTCGCTTCAAGAATTCCAGTGAGCCTTTCTCTCACAATTTATTTTTAGTTCTTAGTCAAACATCCAGGTTAATTAATCTATTTGGGGGATTCCCAATGATGGTTACTTACCACATCCACTAGCTGAGATATTTTTAATCCAAAATACACTTTTATGGTATCATTGGCATTCAATACAGGGCGAACCCATTTCTGGTACCCTTGGAATAAGTTCCTCAGGAGGGCATCTTCAGTTTCTGCTATGGAACCGAAGACTTGAGAGGCTATAAGAACAAAGAAAAATTCAGAATTAATTAAGCATGATACTGAGTTTAGCTTTCAAAGCTTTTATATGGAAAAGGAGTATGGTGGGCAAGAATTAAATGAATGGTATATTAATAATTACATAGTGAATCAAACTTCCTCTGATGCTACCTAGCTGTGGGGAGGTGACTAGCTTCTCAAACGTTGAGCTCAAGCTTTGGTAGTAGCTACTCAGCTAGAAAGACCCTTTGCTGTGTCTGTCATCTGAAGACCAGCACCCAGAGGCTCATCAGCTGAGGGATAACTTCCAGGTAATGAATGCTTCTGGCCAAAGTCACTTACAGTTACATTCTATTAAGGCAAGGCCCTGTTCTCAATTTTTTTTTGTATATCATAGACTACTTTGGCAGTCTAATGAGGTCCACAGGCCTCCTCGGAATAATGTTTTTTTTATTTTTTAAAAATTTTTTAATTAATTAATTTTGATTCACCAACAATCACTTCCATAAGCTTTCGCATTTTAAATTTTTCTCCCCTTCCCTTCCCTTCCCACCTCCCTCCTCAAGATGGCGTGCAATCTGATATAGGCTATACATATACATTCCTATTAAACATATTTTCACATTAGTGATGTTGTAAGTAAGAATTAGAACCAAGAGGAGGAACCATCGGAAAGAGGAAACAAAACACAACAGAAGAAAAAAGTAGCAAATAGTATGCTTTGATCTGCGTTCAAACTCCATAGTTCTTTCTTTGGATGTGGATAGTATTTTCTAGAAGGCGGCCTTTGGAGATGTCTTAGATCCTTGTATTGCTGAGAAGGGTTAAGTCTATCAATATCAGTCATCATACAACATGGCTGTTACTATGTACAATGTTCTCCCGGTTCTGCTCACTTCACTCAGCATCAGACCATATAAGTCTTTCTGGGTTTTTCTGAAGTCTGCCTGTTCATCATTTCTTATAGCACAATAGTATTCCATTACGTTCATATTACAACCTGTTCAGCCATTCCCCAACTGATGGGAATTCCCTCAATTTCCAATTCTTTGCCACCACAAAAAGAGCTGCTATAAATATTTTTGTACATGTAGGTCCTTCAGAATAATGTTTTAAATAACTGAAGAAAATACTGAATTTCAGTTAGAAATTAATGAAAATAAAGATGCAATCCCTCTAACCCTCCCCCTCCCCTGTCTACGTCCACAGACACCTTGAAATCTATCTGTAGACTGTGGACCAAAAGCTAAGAACCCCTGTTCTAAGGTATAGTGGGCGTACAAATCAAAACATTCATTTTTGAATTTTAGAAATACAAAGTCCGTTAATGAACATTTATTAAGTATCTACTGTGTGCTAGGCACTATGCTAATCTCTGGGGATAAAAGAAAGGCAAAAAATTAGTCCCTGCTCTTAAGGAGTTCACAGTCTAATAGCTAAAAGGTAATTCCGCCCTGACCACTGAGTAATATCAAATAATAATCATAGCCAACTTTTACATTGCACTTTAAAGTTTGTAAGTGTATTTTTGTTGTTGTTGAGCTGTTTCAGTCGTGTCTGACTCTTCATGACCCTATTCAGGGTTTTCTTGGTAAAGATACTAGAGTGGTTTGCCATTTCCTTCTCCAACTTATTGTACAGATGAGGAAACTGAGGCAAACAGTGTTAAGTGACTTGCCCAGGGTCACAGAGCTAGTAAGTGTCTGAGGTGGATTTGAACTCAGGAAGATGAGACTTCCTGACTCCAAGCCTGACACTCTATCTACTAGGTCACCTAGTTGCCCCAGTGTAAGACCTGTTTTTTAGGTAAGACCTGCATTCTCACTGAATGCAGAATGGATTGGAGTGAAGGCTATATTTAAACTCACTCTATCCAATGAGCCACCTAGCTGCTACACACACACACACACACACACACACACACACACACACACACACACACACACACACACACACACACATATGCACATACATATATGTGTTATATATGTGTGTGTTATATAATTTCATGTGATCCTTACAACCTTGTGAGATAGGTGCTATTATTATCTCCTTTTTATAGCTGAGGAAACAGACTCAGTGACTTAGTGGATAGGACACTGTATCTGGACTCAGGGAGATCTGAGTTCAAATCTAGCTTCAGATACTAACTATGTGACCATGGACAAGTTATTTAACCTCTGTTTGCCTCAGTTTCCTCATCTGTAAAATGGTACTAATAATAGTACCTACCTCCCACACTGGTTGTGAGGGTCAAATGAGATAGTATTTTTAAAGTACTCTGAAAACTTTAAAGTGCTATGTAAATATCATTGCTATTCTTATTCGGAGAGATTAAGTGATTTGTTCTGAGTTACACAGCTAAAATGTGTCTGAGGCAGGATTTAAACTCTGGCCTTCCTGACTCCAAGTTGAGTACTCTATCCATAAGGCCTTCTAGCTGCCACCTCAAAGACAGTAAGAATATCTAAGGACCTCCCCACACTAGAGGATTTTAGAACTCTGAGGGATTAATGATATAAATGGGCTATTAGGACTTTTTTTTTGATATAAAGAAATCCAGTGGGTTTGTTTTGTTTTGTTTTGTTTATTTATTTATGTTTAGAATTTCCACATATACAAAACATAAGTTGCTGAATGCTAACCCTCTCTGTGACTCATCAAGGTTTGGGCTCCCTATATAAGTGTGGTAACCTAATTGTATAAGTATGAATGTATGTGTGTGTGCAGATGTCTCTGTGCATGTGTAGGCCAGGTCTGATGAAGCTTCTTTTTTTTTTTTTTGGCAATTGGGGTTAAGTGACTTGCCCAGGGTCACACAGCTAGTAAGTGTCAAGTGTTTGGTCTGAAGCTGGATTTGAACTTAGGTCCTCCTGACTTCAGGGCCAGTGCTGAAGCTTCTTAATAAACAAATTCCTGATTAATAAAATCTTTATATATATATATATATATATATATATATATATATATATATATATATACATGTATATATATATATATATAAACTCTCCATAAACATCCTTGAAATACTAGCAAACACCAAATAGTGTAAAATATAAAAACCAATTAAAGAACAAAAAAAGAAAGAAAAAATCTTGTTTGCTATAAATAAATGAAAACAAAGTGAAGTTCTTAGAACAAAGCTGTTAACTAACTGCTTTGAGAATTTCCTTTCCTTTCACTAGTGTGAGTAGTTTCCTAATTAACAGCATTGTTACCTGTCAAGTGAGTTCTCCTGGAAGTTTCTGGTCTTCCCTGAATGCTGGAACTGGACCCTGAAGGTAAGTGGACCAAGAAGTCTAAATAATTCCAGTAGAGTTCCCTTTGCATAAGACTCTGGAAATACATATTCTTTGAAAACCAAATCCTTCCTTCCAGTAGAGAGATTTCATAGAAACAATAAATAACTCCCTGGAGTTATTTCTGAATAATTTATTCAGAAAATGAGCCGAAGCAATTTCTAAATAATTTATTCACTAATCAGTCATTGATCTAGTCCCTTTTGGGCCAGAAGAGACTACTTTCCTCTTCCTAAACAGGTTTTACCTCTTTTATCCACATATGTACCGGCTCACTATCAATTAAATGAAAGGACCACCATCTACTTTTTCTATTATTTCTTTCCTTTTTTGATAGCTGGTTTTTTCCCCTCTATTTTTTTTTTGAAGAGTTACAATACTTCGCTTCCATCTAAGCCAGAAAAAAATCACCCATTTCTTTTTCCTTGATCCTTTTGTGCACTTGGAATTAGTGATTTTGGGTCATCTGGGCCTCCACCAAGGCTTGACTCATTTCTCACCCTTTCTATTTCTTTAGCTTCTTCTTGCATTCATCTCTATCTTTTGCTTTGACTCTTTGAGAGAGACTTCAGAGCAGAGATTTTTAGCAGGGGGTCCATGAACTTTAAAAACAACTTTAATAACCACATTTCAATACATTTGGTTTCCTTTGTGATCCTGCATGTTTTATTTTATGCATTTAAAAACAAGATTCAGAGAAGGGGTCCATAGGCTTTGTCAGATTGCCAAAGGGGTCAATGACGCACCCACCTACAATGTTAAGAACCTCTTCTTTGTAGGGTAGAACTTCCCCAGAATTGATGGCCTGTTGGATGGTGTCTATTATTCTGGCTTCAGCCATCTATTCCACATACAAAGCAAACTCCTTGATTTGCTCTGTATCTCTCTTGAAATCCATGTAAGTGTGTTTAATACCAGTCAACTGTTCTTTAGAATCTATGTATATCTCTTCTAAGGTGACCTTTTTAAAGAGCAGCCTTCAATAGGACAACCAGTCCTTGTCCCGGTGAAGCATATTGGACTCTTTATCCACAGTTCCTTCTATTATGATACACAGCCCATTTCTCCTTGTCACTCAGAACAAAATAGACTTTCCTTCAGGCTTGGCACTGTCCCAGACATAGCCTGGGCAGATTGCAAGGCCAGCACCTGGTACAGGTTGGCTGTGCCAAACTCCTCTCAAGGGCTCTAGGAGGCCTGTCCCAGTACCAGGAAGCAGGAAGGAGGTGGTTTTGTCCTAGCTCTGGAGGGCAAGCAGAGGGGAGAGGTCCATAGGGCTACCACCCCCAGACACCTAGTGTCACCAGCATTTCATTTCATTTGCTCCAAAGTCTTCAACAGCATTCTATTATTACCTATCAAGTTCAATTCACATTTCTTTTCCTAGCTTTCAAGGCCTTTCTTACCCTTTGAGTTTCATCTCATACTAATCCTCTCCCACGTACTCCATGTTCCAGATAAACTGGATAATTCTCTGTCCTTGAATGTTTAATTCATAACAGTGCAACAAACATTTTTAAAGTATCTGTGTATACAGAGACAAACAAGAAATAATCCCTGGCCTCAAGGGGTTTACATTCTACTTTAGGGCCAGGGTGATAGTATATAAAATGTATATATATGTTTGTGTATATATATATATATACACACACACACACACACACACACACACACACACACACACACACATATATATGCATATATAAGCACACCAATACAAG